CACAAAAGGTATTTTTTGAAGTTGTTTTTGAAAGTTGAAGGCAAAGTACAAAATTTGATAAAAAAAAGATTTCAAACTTTCGCGTTCCCTTTATAATAAACTAGCTGACCCGGCGAACTTTGTTCCGCCTTAATGGCAATAAATAAGCAGACTTTTTTTTTATTTCGAACGGGATAAAAAGTATCCTATGTCCTTCTCCTGGCTCTAAACTACCTCCCTGACAATTTTCAGCTAAATCGGTTCAGCCTTTCTTGAGTTATAAGTGGAGTAACTAACACGACTTTCTTTTATATATATATATATAAGATATAAGATGTCGCGTTAAGACCCAGGTATTTAAGTTGATAAAAAAAATACAAATATGATTAAAAACGTAGGTAGCATAATTTCATAGATAGTAATGTCGCATAGCTAAAAATAACACGTCATTGTGCAATATCATCCATAAAAGAAATAAATAATGAATTTAATTTTGCTGTTCTACGAAAATACAATGGGATTCAACCCCTGTAACCTAATAGGAATACAAATTAAATAGCTTTTAAAACTAATTTAATACAAGGACTAAGGACAAATCATGACAAGAAAGGATTTGGTAAAAAAATACATACACAAAGATTTTTCATAAATTTTCATCTAGCGACAACAGACACGCGTACGTTACAACTAACTATGAACATGTATAGTTATTTACAAAACATAAAACTAGTTAGTCACATCGCTCGGCCGCCCCGTGACCATAGACAAATGTTTATCTTTTTTTATGCAGAACAAGGCAGGAATTGGACTGTAACCTCACCTGATGAACTTTTTTTTAGCTTTTTTTATGCAGAACAAGGCAGGTATTTGACTGCAATCGCACCTAATGTTAAGTGAGATGCAGTCTAGGATGTTCAGATCAGTTTTAGAAAATCATAAACAAAATACAATGAAGTTATAATAATAAATCACACCAAAGAAAAAATAGACTAAAATGGCTACCACTTGGACTGAGTATTTTTGTTTAATATTAAATTCATAGACAACTAAATATAATGACTTAGAAAAAAGTTTATATTGGACGAAACTGCCCAGTCTTCGCGCATGTTTTGCCTTACATAATCACCAAAAACATATCAACATTCAACAAAATTGCCTACAAAAATGTTGAATATTGACATGTTTTTTTGATTGTGTAGGGCAGGGGTGGCCAACCGGTCGATATCCAGTCGATCGTGGCAAGGCAAAAAATACTATACATGATTGTGTACTAAACTATACTGTTCCATTTAAGATTTTAAGAAGTATGTAAGTGTTAGATGGCCCAGGGTTTAGTAACCAGTAGATCTTATGTCTAATCAAGTAGGCCACCCCTGGTGTAGGACAAAACATGCTCTGGAGACCCAGCTTAACGGATCTGAAAATTGACCTTAAGAAAAGTAAAAAAAAAAGATATTTGTCTATGGTCACACCGAAGCGGCCGCCCTCTGTATGGCAAGAACTTAATAGTCACCATTAGCTGCATATTTCTTCTGGGTCGCGATCGCAACGTTAAAATTACCATAGACTACACAGTGGCATCTTACTTGATACAAATATTACAACTTTATTTTGCTAGTAAAATGTTTTTTAGATATTGTGATTTTTGCATTTAATACTTCTTTAAAAATAGGTTAGTTTTCTAAAAATAAAAAAAATTGACGGACAAAAAAAATCTTTTAGTCCGTCAATTACATTATCAGAAAATATTGGACACGTATATTTGTCGATCAAAGAAGTAATTACGAAATTATGATGCGTTGAAGTTCCGTGTGACGTCACAAAGTGCCACACTTTTAAGCACGCCTTGACGTCACGGGCCGCTTCTTTTTAACTTTACCTCTTTGACCTGACCACTGACTGTGGACACGTTTAGTAAAAGCAAAAATCACAATAAAGTACAAAATAATTTTAAAGTAAAATCTGAATAATATTTTGGTTCTCTAAAGTAATTTTAACATCACTTGCGCGACCGTAACTCTCACAAAACTTAAGTCTAAACGAATGGCAGTTGACTTGTTATAATAATATTAATCGATTATCGCGATTTAGTGTTGCCTAGTCTTATCGCACTATCGATATAAATAAGGCCAAGATCACACTATAATCTATAATAAGCAGTGGTCTTCTTCGAAATAATTCAGCTGTTAAATTAATAAAAATTTAGAGAATTGGGAAAGCAAATACATCATCAGTAAACTAAATGCGTCAAACTTCGAACACAAAGTCGAAACTTATAGCCTGACCAGGAACATAAAAACCCTGGCATAGAGGCGCGTCAATTGCATTTGATAGTGCAACACTGAGTACAGTCACTGTGTTAAATTAATAGGCTAACTTTATGTATCAGGATTCAGGATTACGGGCTAATTTGATATTTTCATAAGTTAACGAAAAAATATTATTATAGGTAACCTGGTTTAAATAAATTAAATGAAACCATCAATCGAGCTAGTAGGATTTATTTTATTATTCATCAATAATCAAATTCAGAACTTGAATATTCAACTGCAATGTCTGCTCATGAACGCTTCAAACTCGGTACTTCTTTCCCATGCCATAAAATTCAACACTTAGAAAGTGAGAAAAAACTTTAAAATAGGTAGTTGAAACAAACCACAGCTAATTTTCATAGTGGACTGTACTATACGATAAAATGTCAATCAATTTGACAACCTTTGTCAAAAACATTATTCAATGAAAATATTGTCCGAACCCTTAGTATTTCTCTTCGACAAATACTTTAACACATTGTGAACCACTTTTCTTTCACGACTATAAAAAGATTTTGGAATATAATTCACAAAATCAATTGCGCACATTTAAAATAAAGTTTGTTTACACTTTGACAGCAATAGACTGACATGCAAGGTGACATGTCAATGAAGTTTTCAGTTACTGTTGCCATTAAGAGAAATTAGTACCATTAGTTTTCCGCAACATTGCGAGGGTTTTTATGTTCCTGGTCGGGCTATAACTTCGAACTCCTCCTATGTTCTTCTGATTAATTTCGTTGCGGGTCCAATGACAATTTAATTTTCCCCCGGGACTAACTTGACCTTCGCTGGTTGGGTTGAGCGGTCGAGCTGTAGATCCTGGCTACACAGGAGTTGCAGCGGTGGGAACGAGAGGTGGGAATAGTCCCGGAGCTTTTTTCACAGTATAATTATTGAAAGTAAATTAATCACTCACTGGCTGCTGCGATACAGGCCGCGAGCCTAGTGCAGGAGCCGCTGTTAAACTCAAATTATGTAACAATTTTTGCAATAAAGTTTATTTATTTAACTTGTTATATCACAGGAAAGCTGCTGTATATTTTTTATGAACTGTCAAAACACGTTTCTACCTTTTTACATGGCAATGACGTCATTCTTATCCCAACCCACCATCGTTCGAGCCAGTCTTAGTTCTCAAGTTGCAGTATTTAGTGACGTCCCTTATTTATATCGATAGTAAATAACGACAACACTATGAGTATATTATGGAGTATTATTTAAATGCTTTTCAATTAATCTTTAGTTGCGAGCAGTCACACATTTAGTAATGCAAAATGTCAGTTTAATTTTTTTAACTGGATTTTATAGAATCCATCGGAAAAATTGGTTATTTTTTAACGAGTTTCGTTTGCTTTAATCTTGATATCTCCATGCATTAGAAATAGAATTAAATCTCATTTTATTTTTCTTATTAAAATGAAATGGGATAGAAAATTTCTCTGTGGTTGAGTAATCCGGGCGAATCTCGCATCCACTTTCGGGCATCAGAACTTCCCAACAAGCAAGATGGAGGCCAAAAGTTTAATAATAAATGCGTTTTTTCTAAACAAATGTGTGACTACCCTCAATATTTTTTCCGTTATTTTGTGCCATATTTGTGGCTATATTGTACAGTCAAAACCCACCACAAACTGGCTCAATCAATTATGAACCTTATGTTAAAGACATAATGCTCAAAATCCATTGCGAAATCATATAGTGGTGAGCTCATCTTGCTTGTATCACTTTAGCAGTCGACTCCAGGTCTATAAATACAGATTTAGATTTCTGTACGTTTAGAAATGACAACAAATGTAAACCATTTTTTGACAGCTGTCATTTATGTATGATTTGACGTTTCGCTGTCATTCGTAGTACGCCCATTGTCAATGCAATATCAACCTTAGTGTCACAATATTAAGGTAGGTACATTTAGTAACCTTTTATGTAGATCCCTATGACAGCTGTCAAAACCCATTTGACAGTCTTTTGACGTTTGAAGACGCATTTTGACATTTGTAAACGCACAGAAATCTACTTAAAACCGTAACGAGTTGGTCATATCATACCTATCCAATGATACTTATCCTACATATTCGTAGTTTCAACATTGTATTGCCAGTTGCAATAATATCTACACAGAATAGTCTGTGTGTACATGTTTTTGCATCTGGCTTCTGTTACAACGGCATCTATCAGTTTGGGAGGATTATGTCAGAATCGGTACAGAATTTTCGAGATTCCATTTTGTCAATTTAATAAACTTTAAGTAAACAAATGCATTTAATTATAATAAAATCAACAATAAATCGATTTAATGAATTAGTCGTAATATTTAAATTTATAAAAGATAAGATTCTGCTTATTAAAAACAAGTTTATAGATTGTTTTATCCACTAAGACGCGCCCCACCACTCTTCCGCTAATGTTTGAGTGTTATCGGTACACGCGAATGCTCCATGAGTGCACACGCACACTACAGTAATGCCTTACGGCTTGCTCGGACCACACTCCCCGCACCCCGCGGGACCGGGACCAAACATTGCTGGGGCGCGCCCGAGTGGATGGAACGAACTATAGTTCAATACTTGGAATGTGTAATAATAAAGCCCGGTCCGTGAGCACGTAGAATTTTGTCCAATGACCCCTAGCTACCCATCCTTATCGCTCGCGCGTAATTATATTGCTGTCGCGACTGTGCGACGGGCGCCCGCAGTGAGTGTGCGAGCGCGACAGCAACATAATTACTCGCGAGCGATAAGGATGGGTAGCTTGGGGTCGTTGGACAAAATTCTACGTGCTGACGGCCCAAGCTAATGTATTTAATAAGCCTTTTTATACTTTACCTAAGCGCCACAGAAGCTCAGCTTAGTTTGGGGCTAGATTTATAATTTTATACATTATATTTCATTTTTCACAACCAAATAATAGATGCCGTGTTATATAATAGAAAGATTACATACTCGTACGCACTTATACATATTATTAAATTTTAATTTATATTATTTACATTTATTGTTATATTCATATATTATTTATATCATTATACACAACGCAGTGTGTGTGTTTTTCGTCGCCATTTTTGAATATTTTTTGCGGATGACAGCTGTCACATTTGACAGTTCGAACAAAAATAATTGCATTTAGAGATAAACATTTCTTATAAAATAATATAATACAAACGTATAACAAAACTGCACAGTACAACTGTCATACAAAATTTGTATGGCGTAAAAACACACACACTACGTCATTATGATGTATGGTCTCATTCAATACACACATACAACTGAGATCAAAATTTTTGAATTCCGACTGCTCCCATACTAAAATGTATGGGATCACCATTTTCTCACGTTGGTTAAAATCTTTATAACATGCCGATACTTCTCATAGTGTCGAGCGAGACGAGTTTATTAAAAACCTATATGACATATAACTATAAGTTGGTATATTTATATGTATTTATTTAGAGGAATGATTGTTGGTGCCAAACGATGTCACGGCTGAAAATAAAAATTAGGTATTATTAATTAAATAAAACTTATGCCCGTTTTCACCATCAATCCTTAATTTTTAAGTGAACTCTATGGTAGCACATAACAGGAAAGGACATCATCCACGTTTCATATCTAGACAAACCTAAAAAGGATTTAGGACGCTATTTGGATCAAATATGTAATTGCTCAATAATGAATAATAAATAAATAAAATAAATAAATAAAATATATTTTTGGTCCAAAATCTAAAGTGCCGGCCAACAAAAAAAAGTGCTGTATTCTGACAGAATACGTCTGCCTTAGCATTTGTTACTATGGCACCAAAGCCGTAGCTCCACTGTGCGTCGAGTATTTGAGATCATCGACTATTCATACATTTTTTGTTCAAAATCAAGTGTCGGCCAATAAAAAAAAAGTGCTGTATTCTGACAGAATACGTCCGCCTTAGCATTTGTTACTATGCCACCAAAGCTGTAGCACCACTGTGCGTCGAGTATTTGAGATCTAAAATTCATCGACGATTCATACATTTTTTGTTCAAAATCAAAAATGTCGGCCAATAAAAAAAACCTGACCTTCGATTGACAGATCCCCTTAAAATTTTACCCTAAAAGTGGTTCCTGACAGATTGTATATTATAAATCTCCCCTACTGTAAGGCTGGGTTGCACCATCCTACTTTAACTTTGAAAAACGTCAAAAATCTGTCAAACTCCATACAAAATGCACCGGTTATTGTTAAAGTTACGGTGAAAGTAAGTTAAGTAAGAGCCTAACTCTAGCGGTTATCTCAGTCAGTGCTTGACGTGACAGAGTATACAAATGGCAATGCCAGATTTTGTATGGAAGGTGGCGTCTTTTTTTTTCGCGCGGCCATCGACCAACCTTTGTTTTTTGATTACAAGATATTGTAATAAACCAAACTTACTATGACATGTATACCTCTAAACTCAGTCTGAACTGAGTTACGAGCGTTAGAAGTTTGATAATTTACATACTAGATTTGCTTTTTGCGCGCAAGTTTTGAAAGAAATTGCAACAAAATATTTCGCTATTTTTTTATTGCGCTGATTATACTCTACACTGATGTCTGGAGCCTTTAATGGATGGTATTGTTTGTTTACACATACAATGTCACTATTTTGTTGCAATTTCATACAAAACTTGTGTGCAAAAAGCGAATCTAGTATGCAAAATCATCAAACTTCTAATGCTCGTAACTCAGTTCAGACTGAGTTTAGAGGTATACATGTCATAGTAAGTTTGGTTTATTACACTATTTTGTAATCAAAAAACAAGGTTTGGTCGATGGCCGCGCGAAAAAAAAAAGACGCCAATTTCCGGCATTGTCTTTTGAAGCACATCTAACGTCTCGTTAACGTTTGACGTCTCAAGTCAAGAACACACTAAAAACCCCATTAAAATAATTTATTTTTGTAAGTAGGCTTTAAAAAAGCACTTTTACACGTCCCAGTATTAACCCTACTATTACATAAAATAATATGCTTCGATAAATATTGAATGTTTATTTACATGACTATGTCATAACAATGAAAAACACGCGTTGCTAAGCAACCATAAAGAAGGTCAGACATGACAACTACCACTGCTTCAGGACAATAAATGGGCCAGTGCTGAGAAGAAGCAGCGCAAGAAACTCAGACACTATTGTCAGCCTTCTTTTCAAAGGTTTACAGGCTTTAAAATATACATAGTTATAAACATTTATGCGAGCAAACATTTTTATCTTTTAAATAATCATCGACTTTATAGTAGCCCTTTTTCATTAAGGTACTTTTAATATGTGCTTTGAATTTATGAATGGGTAGTTCTACAACAGTTTGTGGTAATTTATGAAAGAATTACTGACGTCCGCTGACGTGAGACGTCTCAAGAACACCCTCCCGGTCGCCATATATGTAGTTCCAAAATACTGAACTGTCCTATGCATGACATTGACAGTGGGGCGCCACCGTCAACACCGGATCGCTGGTTCCGATTTTTGCCAAGTTGGAAACCATATAGTTGAACGATGGTAGCGCCCCCCTGTCATTGAGTTTGGTGGGACAGGGGCCGTTTAAGTATTACGTAAGCACCAATTTCTCTGTTTTGCTTATTTTGGATGACATGGGGGGTAGGGGGGTCTAGATGATGATTACGTCATCGTTAGTTATTTACGGTTTTTCGGGGATTCCCGCAAATAATACATATGCGTAGGCACTCGCTTTGAGAACTGATTAGGGGAATTACCGCACATTAGGGAAATTACCGTGCGCTATTCACTTGTCTAATAATTAACTCTCGTGCCGACACTGCCCATTGAAAATTTGTGAGTCGTAGTCCGCATAACTAAAAATGTTTACGTAAGCATAGGGGGAGGGGGTAAGTGCTTTGCTTACTTTTGATGACAAGGGGGGCGGGGGGGTAAAATATGGTAAGAAATCTGCTTACGTAATACTTAAACAGTTCAGCGTGGGTCATCTACAGGGTGGAATTTTGTAATGCCACCTGGAGGGAAAGTACCATTAATACTGTAGATAGAAAATTTTACTGAAAGAAAACATTCCTTTATTTTTGAAAAGAAAGAGAACTGCATTCAAAGATTTTCGAATTTTTTTCGAAAATTCACTACCATCAATACAATTTTCTGTAACGTAATTAAAATAATTTAAGATTTCATGGTTTTCCTTTCATTTTTGATTTATCAAGTTTGTTAGAGAGATTTCATTCTTATACTTAACCCTATCGATAGATGTAATAAAAATACAGGGTGTAATTTTTAACAAATAGTTGATTCGATTCCCGGGTGTGACAAGCAAATTTTTGGAAATCTTTGAATGCAGTTCTATTTCTTTTCAAAAGTAAAGGAATGTTTTCTTTGAGAAAAAAATTCTATCTACAATATTAAGAGTACTTTCCCTCCAGGTGGCATTACAAAATTCCACCCTGTATGCGTCAGGCCCTGGCTGAGTTACCGCTAGTCCTGTAATGCTGTGCGTGTGTGCTCACCTCACGCGTAGTTGGAGGGGCTCTGCCCACGGCTACCGGAGCCCGAGCTGCCGTAAGAAGGCTCCAGTCTGCGGGGACAAACAAAATCACTAAACGCTATAAAATGGGAGTCTGCATGCCTGCCTGGTAGGGCAAAAAAAGAATGAGACATGTATAGGCTCCTTAAGAGCATTTGACGATTTGTAAGTACTGATTTATTTAGTCTATACAAATAAAGATAATTTTGATTTGATTTTACCTGGTATTTAATTGTGGAAGCGGTTATGTTCAAGAGGAACGTCTATATGAACAGTAATAAATAAGAATGAAAATTAAAAGTGATTATTTTTATTGGATAGTGTGCAGGACGACTATTAATCGGCCGAGCGGAACCCTAAAAATATCAATAGAAACCGCATCAAATACATATACGCACCTATAGCTATAGATATGTAATAAATCATCGGCGCTCGGCAAGTACCTAAAAAGACAGAGACAGTGCGAGCGCGCAAAGGACAGCGATAGCACGCGCGCCCGCAATAACCGCCCTTACGATCTACGAAATAAGGCTCATATCCGGACGCCTTATAGTTTGTTTACGACTCCCGCGAGTTCGAGTAAGTACTTGCGTATTCCCGAATACGGGCGGACCGCGTATTATTCTAGAAAATAGGCGGGATTTTATGGGTATATAAACCGGCTGCCGGGCCGCACCAAGCATAGTCTTCTCTAATCAATCGAAGTGAATAGTCTTCTCTAAACAACCGAAGAGAATAGTCTTCTACAAGCAACCGAAGAGAATAGTCTCAAGACAGTCTACTCAAGAGTCTCAAGAGCGCATAGTGAAGATAGTGAATAGTACAACGACTACAGCATAGACCTCGGACACCGTTATAGCATAGCGACTTCGGATACCGTATAGACCGGACTCCTACAGCGTGTGACATCGACCGCACCGTGTTCACCGTATAGAACGTCACACCGCACATAGTATAGAAGCCACGAAGTACGAAGACGTGGCAACGATCCACCACCGATTACAGTATAGTAGTGCAGCGATTGGAGACACCGTCAGCGGAGCTTCTACAGTCTACAGTCCACCGCTCTCCGTTTCACCGCATCCATACAGCCCACTCCGCTCATTCACTCCAGTCACAGTTATCTGGCCTCCGACAGTTTCGTACAGTTTTTAGCCGGATAATAAACAGTCCTGCACAGATAGCTACAAATGAGAAGGATGCGCTTGCTTTTTTGAGAAAACGGGGTTTACATTTGGTAATTACCATTAATTTCTTTCTGTACGTTTATTTCCGTACGACTCACGACGCATCGCGTCGCTCAGTTAGGGAAGCCCTGCCCTAGTGTATCCGTGGCATTAAGGTACGTACGCACCGGTAGTCCCTGGGCGACTTGTGTCTCCTGGGGCTTCACACACCCACTACGGGCGCCCGTCGCACAGTCGCGACAGCAATATAACTACGCGCGAGCGATAAGGATGGGTAGCTTGGGGTCATTGGACGAAATTCTACGTGCTCGGCGACCGGGTTGTATATGTCACCGTAAAATTGTGAATTCCGTCAGATTATAACGTAGTTAAATTACAATGTAACCTAACCCACTGTTAGTTTACAATCTAACGCGTTATATTATAAACTGACAGAGTTCACAATTTCACGTTGACATATACACCCCTGTATTACATACCGGTAGTCCCGGGGCGACTTGTGTCTCCTGGGGCTGGGGCTGGCGCTGGGGCTGGTGCTGCCAGAAGCGCCGCCCGCGCCCGCCGCGCCCAGCCCGCTCAGACCGCTGCTTCCTACGCGGGTCACTGCGGAAAATAATAGTGAAAAACATTTTATTGGCACTTATTATTAAAATCAAAAATATTTATTCAGTTTACACCACAAGTGGCACTTGTAAACGTCAAAATATGATAAATAATAAAAAAAGAAAAGGTAGCCCTTACGGGGCACTTTACATGTCTCCTTATCTTTTGGGCCCTACCAGCGCTTCGAGACAAACATATTAGTATAAGATCCCGCTATACAACGACCTTCACCGAGATGCTTATTTGATGAAACATATTTTATATTCAATTTAACATGTCAATAATTATATTGCTTAAGGGTTGCCTAATAAATTTCAGTCCAGGATATGACTAATTAATCATTAAAAAAAGTTTTATTTTTAAATATTTCATCGGTTTGATTATTAAACAAACTTCATACCAATCGAAAGTATGAAGCCCATAGAATATGCAAATGTTAGGTTGCCTATTCTTTTCCAGTCATAACTCTCGGGTTGCCAGGTATAAACAGGTAAATTGATAGAGCATTTTGCATCGGTCTGATAATTTAATCAAATATAAATGAAAATAAAGATTATTTCATTATGAACACGGTGGTATAGGGTTGCCTGCGAAAAATCAGTCCTGAATGACGGTTGTCGAATTTTGTAAAGTGAAATTAAAGCTGAAAGGTCACATATTTCGAGTAGTTGGCAACATTTGGGAAAAACGAGTTGTATGAGGCGTTTGTGTGTCNAAAAGCATATTTTTTATGTTTCTAGCAAAAATTTTGTATCTTGCATAAAAGATAGGAAGTTGATTATTTTTTTCAAAAATCTGCAATTAATAGGGAATCTGTCAAAAAAAAGAAATCTGAGAAAAGTCGACCCAAAAAAAAGATAAAAAAATTTAAAGCCTACTAGGTCATACAATTTGAAAAAATCACAAAATTAAAGATAACTTCTAAACTATGAAAAATCGTAAAACATACATGGGGGTAAAATCGATAGGTCTAGTCCTCACCTATCACCTGCCTTCGGCTTGACACCTTACAAGAAACACCCTGTATAATTATTGACATGTAAAATTGAATATAAAATATGTTTCATCAAATAAGCATCTCGGTGAAGGTCCTTGTATAGCGGGATCTTAGACTATATGGCAAGTGCTGAGAAGAAAAGCCGGAACAAACTCATTCAATCATCATAATATATTGTAACAAGTTGTTGGTGATTTCCTCTCTTCAAGTTTATGTAACCAGAGAGGAATCCACTCTTCGTCACATCCATAGATGTTCTGAACAGGTACACGACATCGCAGAGGGATATTTCGACTCGCTAGGTTCTAACTCTAAGAAAATAAAATAAAATAAATCATTTATTTGCTCAGAAACATGGTAACAAAATGGTCGATAGAAAATGTCAAGTCCAACATGTTTTGTCCAGGGTAGGCATGCAAATTTTACAAAATTAGAATCTACATATTAATAACAATAATAAATTAATTAAAAAAATGAAGTCATTATAGGCACACAAATCAATCACTCAGAAATTCTTTGACAGTATAAAAACATTATTATCAACTAATCATTCATAAAGACATTTTTTAAATTGGTTTACATGCAAGTCAGTGATAGAGTCTGGAATTTTATTAAAAACTTTAATGGCCATTATAAAACAGTTTTTACTGTAAAGGTCTACTCACGAGAGCGGTGTCCCTGGGTGCAGTTAATGCGAGATCTTTGGTGTCACTGGTGCTTTAATGCCTGATGCCGATGCTTGCTATGCTTTATCTAAGCAAGCCCCTCCCGTAGCAACAGTTTCCTTACGCGAGCGGTGCCCCGTGGTGCAAATGGTGCGAGATCGACTGGTGCGAGATTCCTTGGAGCGACTGGTGCGAGATTCCTTGGTGCGACTGGTGCGAGATGCCTGGTGTGAGATCTTCTGGTGCGTTAATACCTGGTGCGGGTGCTAACTCTCTTGCTAGTTATTCAAGTGAACGGTGTTCCTGCGGATGCGACTGGTGCGAGATTCCTTGGTACGAGATCCCCTGATGTAATTGTTGTGAGGTCCCTGGTGCGATATCTTCTGCTACGCTAATGCTTGGTGTGAGTCGTACGGTTTTAACTTGCTAAGTCTACTTACGCGAGCGGTGTCCCTGCGGGTGGTGCGAGACGAGGCCTGGTGGTGAGAGATCCCTTGGTGCCACTGGTGTGAGATGCCTGGTGTGAGATCTTCTGGTACGGCTAACTCTCTACTCACGCGAGCGGTGTCCCTGTGGGTGGTGCGAGGCCGAGTGGTGCGAGGCGTGGTGCGTCGCACGCGGTGCGGGCAGGTGCGCGAGGTGCGCGCTGTTGGACGCACTTAGTGCGGAGGGCGAGGGACTGGCGCGCGACCGCACCGCTGGAAGGAAAAACATATATTTAAAACTAGCTGACTCGGCGAACTCTGTTCCGCCTTAAAGGCAATAAATAAGCCATCGCAATTTTTCCTTATGTGCTCACTGTTTAGACCTACCCTGGACTACGACAAACATTTTAAAACCAAAATCAGCTCAATCGGCCCAGCCGTTCTCGAGTTTTAATCAGACTAACGAACAGCAATTCGTTGTTATTTATATAGGTAGATTATCATTTGTTTTATAGAACAAAATGGTGTCATTAAATTATAACACTTTTTACGGTTTTAGCAAACATATTACAATCATGACAGTTCAGTACAATAGAAAAATGCAAGAGTGAAAACAAAAGAAGTCCTATAAAATTAAAACGAAAACGCCGCGGCGCGCCGCACAGATTAGTGCAGAGGTTGAACGCCGCAACTTCTCATTAAAATTTGTTTTCCATCTGCCCCCTTAGAAAAAATACACTTTTTGATTGAATCGAAAATCGAATCCGTCAAAACTCCATACAAAAAAAGTATTTTTGCTGGTTTGCGATTTTAATGTGCACTTTGTCTAGAGCTAGACCCACAGAAATGAGGAGATGGGCAGGGCACATAGTAGAATTAACGACCAATGGGGCAGCAAAAAAATAAAGGGTGTATAGCCTGACCAGGAACATAAAAACCCTGGCATAGAGGCGCGTCAATTGCATTTGATAGTGCAACACTGAGTACAGTCATACCTGTGTTAAATTAATAGGCTAACTTTATGTATCAGGATTCAGGATTACGGGCTAATTTGATATTTTCATAAGTTAACGAAAAAGATTATACTATAGGTAACCTGGTTTAAATAAATTAAATGAAACCATCAATCGAACTAGTAGGATTTATTTTATTATTCATCAATAATCAAATTCTGAACTTGAATATTCAACTGCAATGTTTGCTCATGAACGCTTCAAACTCGGTACTTCTTTCCCAATTCCATAAAATTCAACACTTACAAAGTGACAAAAATACTTTAAAATAGGTAGTTGAAACAAACCACAGCTAATTTTCATAGTGGACTGTACTATACGATAAACATGTCAGTAAATTTGACAACCTTTGTCGGAAACATTATTCAATGAAAATATTGCCGAAACCTTAGTATTTCTCTTCGACAAATACTTTAACACATTGTGAACCACTTTTCTTTCACGACTATAAAAAGATTTTAGCAATTTCATACACAAAATCAATTGCGCACATTTAAAATAAAGTTTGTTTACACTTTGACAGCAATAGACTGACATGCAAGGTGACATATCAATGAAGTTTTCAGTTACTGTTGCCATTAAAAGAAATTAGTACCATTAGTTTTCCGCAACATGGCGAGGGTTTTTATGTTCCTGGTCGGTCTATATGACAGATTTTTGACGGTTGTCAAAGTTAAAGTAAGATTGTGCAACCCAGCCTAAAAGTTTTTTTTAAAGGTAGCTTTTTGAACTTCGAATTATGTTGCTGACGCGTTCGCACACTCTGCGGCCGCCCGTCGCACAGTCGCAACAGCAACATAATTACGCGCGAGCGATAAGGATGGGTAGCTTGGGGTCATTGGACAAAATTCTACGTGCTCACGGACCAGTCTATGGGTCCATATTGGCTCACCTAAAGTTATTTACCCGAAATTGTTCTTCCTAACGATTTTAAATCCGAATGATCACTCTTCCTAAAATTTTTCATCCTAAAGTTTTCATTCATAGTCAAAGTCAAAGTCAAAATTTTCTTTATTTGTTTAGACTAATAAATAGTTCTTACAAATCGTCATTTTGCTCTTAAGGAGCCTCTACATGTCTCATAATCTTTTTACCCTACCAGCGCTTCGAGACCAACATTTGGCAAGTGCTGAGAAGAAGCGCCGCAACAAACTCAGTCACCACTGTCTGCCGGTTAATATAAATAAATAGAAATAGCAGTAGTAGGTACATTCGATTCAGGAGCAGTTCACTGAATTTACCATGCAATCTTGTATAGTGTATCTTATAAGAATGGGTATACAAAATTGCGTGGTTTATTAAACAAGGTAGTGACGTGCTAATATCTAGACTTACAGATAACACACTTAAATACTAGTAGAAATGACTCGCATACATAAATTGGAATAACTTGGATTGACCAGTCCCCGAAAGCAGCGCCTGTTCACAGACATGACGAGTGAACCAGCCATCGCTTCACTCGACCATATTAGAGGGAATGTAACGACCCGCCTCACTACGCCACCACCCCAGAGACATTTTAGTGAGAATGACAATACCAAGTTATCTCTTAGAGAAAAAAAAACCCAATAATAAAGCTAAGTAACAGTCCAGATTGAGAAGCATGACACTATAACATTTTAGAAAATTAGATTAGTTTATACATTACTTTTCATAGCACGATTTTAATTCTTTTTAGTGCGAGCATGAGAGGACCATAATCCTACTCCCAGGGTGACTTATCATTAAGAAAATCTCGAGTTGTGTAATAGGCTTTTTTAAGCATGTGATCTTTAACTATACCTTTAAATTTATTGTACGGTAGCTCTTTATATTTATCAGGGACTTTGTTATAAAAATGGATACCTTGTCCCATAAAGGTGGCAAACACTTTATTAAGTCTAAAAGCGGGTATAGCCAATTTATTTTTATTTCTAGTATTGATTTGGTGAATATCACTTTTCTTTTTGAATTCATTAATATTTTGTTGAATAAATAGAATACAGTTTAAGATGTATTGTGAAGCGGCCGTGAGAATGCCAATTTCTTTAAACAATTCTCTAAGGGACGCTCTTGCTTTCATTTTATACAAGTATCTTATTGTGGTCACAGTTCTAACCTAACCTAAACCAATAATTATGAATAGGACCGATTCGTTTCTGGAACTTGACTGAATGAATGGAGCGGGACTTAAGTATACGTGCTAATGCCAACAAACTTGAACTTTAATATATTGTTAAAGAAAGAAATCTAAACAAAAAAGATATGACTTTGAATAATAGTGTAAAATATGGTTATGTTTAGAAAATCTAGGAGAACAAATAAAAGTGTAATAGATGTTTATTGCTAATGACATTATGAAGTTGAATGATTCGGAATTATGAACATTAGAGACAGAGTAGTTAGGAATTGTGATTGTTAGGATAAAAAATTTTAGGAAGAACATTTTCGGACTTCCAATTTTCGGAGTTGAAAATTTAGGTGAACTTTGGCGCACCCCCAGACTATAGCCTATTGCAGGGATGGCGAACCAATGGCACGCGCCATAATATTTAGGGCACGCCCACCTATCACAAAATTCACTATGAAATAAAAAGTAAATAATGTGTTTTAAATAAGGGCTATCGTATTTGCCCTCATCAGTTAATGCTACTATAGAGTAAGGTCCTACTGTCACTCGCCAGTGGCGCCACTTGTACCTACTATACCCCTCATTGATAGCATTAGGTGATATTTGATGGCACGTAAGACTACATCAAACATTTTTTTCGGAAAAATGGCACGTTGATACACAAAGGTTCGCCATCCCTGGCCTATTGTATCTCTCTTACCCGTAGTATGCGCGGGCGCGGACGCGTTAGCGGAGGCGGGAGCGGAAGCGGGCGGGCGGCGCGCGTGCAGCGGCGGCAGCAGCGCCGGGCTGTGCGCGCGCGGGTGGAACATCGAGTACGCTGCGGAGGGAAGAAAGATGGCCGCTATATTGCAGTGTTTTTCAACCCTTTTCATGACACGACCCCCTAGTATCCTGCTTCCTACTAATATTATAAATGCGAAAGTTTGGATGTCCGGATATCTGGATGTTTGTTATAGAGATGAGACGTATTTACTAGAACAGATCCACACACTAGGTATTTTACAGTACTAAGTGGCACCTATTCCAATTTTTAAAATACTTGATCCACATAGTATTTTTTAAATTACACGATTTCCGACCCTACCATCAAAGTAATAGAGGTTATTATTGCATAATACGTAGTCGTGTATTACGCTCACCGCGTATTTCTCGCTAAGTATTTTTTAAATTACACGATTTCCGACCCTACCATCAAAGTAATAGAGGTTATTATTGCATAATCCGTAGTCGTGTATTACGTGCACCGCGTATTTCTCGCTAAGGTTTTGAATATTTTAATTTTTGTTCTCTCTCATCCAGCTCACTCCTTGTCATAAAGTTAATATTCCTTCGGAATAGAGCAACAAAGAATGAGCGAGCGAGATGTCACTATCTGCAACCCTGTGTGATAAAAAGAGATGTGTGATGCTATCATCGTTACGTCAATAGAACCATTTTTGCAAAAGATTTGACAGGCAGTGACACATAGAGGCACAAAGAAAATTTTAAATTATAGTCTTTTATAAAAATATCGTAAAATCCTGTTTATTTTTGGAAAATTTGTTTTCTTATATAATAGTGACCTGTTCCGTCCTTGATTGTGATGTACACCAAAGGAATAATCCTGCAAAATATTCATTTCACAGGTAAATTTATTGAAATCGACACCTCCAAACTTTAGCTTTATTTTTGTGAATGCGCTTAGAATTTTAAGCACTAAGTGTGATAATTATGTTCTTTAAACATTAATTTAAGTTGTAAGCAAAGATTTCATGCTCATAATCCAGAATTTATGAATATTTTGTGTAAAGAAATAATTTTCGTTTTACACTAGGGTTGTACCACAATCGATAAATATATTTTCTGCGCTGTTTATCACAGTCACTGCTGATTATGTAGGTACATAAATGGCGTTTGTATGTGAATATAGAAAAGTATTATTTTGTAATTACCTGTTAGTTAATAAACTAAACTAAATATTACATACTAAATATAATAATAAATATGTTTATGCACACAGATGTTTGTACTGTGCGGGAATCGAACCCGCTACCTCCGGAATAGTAGTCCGTTTCAAACCAGCCGTCACACGTCCGATTTTTGAAGTGTTTATTTTTTACTATTTTTTATAGAAGAAACATTCTATTCTACATGTTATTCAATTTCAAATTGCATTATTAATACTACGGTTGTATCTTTTCAAAGAAAATTGTATTTTAAAGTCATAATACGTGGATTAGTCCGCACTCCGCACTAGTCGCGTCAAGTATGGTAAATTACTACGTACTAAGTGGAACAGGTATTTGGATCACGTATTAATAAATACTTGGAATAGGTGCACCTAGTATCAAATTTACCTAGTATAACCCATCTCTAGTTTGTTACTCTTTCACGCAAAAACTATTGAACGAATTTTGATGAAACTTTAAAGTATTATTGTTTATAACACTGATTAACATATAGGCTATAATTTATGACGATCTGTGACAAAATAAATTTCACGCGGGCGAAGCCGCGGGCAAAAGCTAGTGAAAAAATATTTTACCGTTCGCTTTTCTTTTTCATGCATTTTATAATGTTACAAAGATATTGTAGGGACCGAATACTTCAATCCATACAGGTTAAAAAACACTGTTATATTGCATGTCAGGGCGCCATATTGCACGTCAGGGCGCCTTGAAATTAGAAACGTTAAGGTACAAGTTGGAAGCGGACGACATGAGGCAGCAACCGACGACGTGTCGTAGCGACACTACTGGTTTCTATGTATTTATACGAAATACCATTCGTAATAAGCGACACGACAAATTCAAATTCTTTATTGCTCCAATGTTGGTATACAAAGGTTCTTACATTTACGTCGCCTGGAACCGAGGAGTGGGTCAATTTTAAGTTGCAAGATTTAACGACAGACACCAGACATATGAAAGTAAATAAAAGCTTACAAAATACATAGAGTGACGTGTCGCGGCAACTTGCACTTTTAGTAAACACTGCAGTGGTGCCACTGTTTTCATACAATTTCAAGAAGCACAGTTGCGGCGCCACTACCGTGACAAACGCAAATGGCGATGCAACTGCGCTTCTAGAAATTGTATGTAGCGCTTCCTCATGCCCCTAATTTGAAGACACAAGTTTTGAATCAACACAACGACAGGTCAGCAGTCCGAAGCCGCCTCACAGATCATTTAAGTATTAAAGTTATTTTTTATAGTAAAAACGTTATACCGTTTTTTTTAAATAATTATACCGTTAACTGATTGTGTTCTGGTCTCGTTATTTTGTTTAGTGTGGGTACTTGGAACAATTGTGGAGTTTATTTCTATAAATATTTTGTAAATGTCATATTTTAGGTCTACCTTTTTTAATTTTATTTTGTATTTATGTAAATAAATTGATATTTTATTTTAACTGCAGCGCCCTCTGTTGCGCGCCTTTTTGCCAGGAAGTGTTACGAATCGACACGAATTTTATAATATTTTCTATTGATAAACCGTCACTGTCAAAAGGGCGCTTAATTGGCGTAATAATCCCCATGTTGGTACCCGCTGAAAACCAGCTTCGTGACTTGACGACTTGTGTGTCACGATTTTCGCTGAGCGGGCGCCTTTTCAGCATGGCTCAGTAATATTTAACCTCTGTACATGTATGCACACAAATGTTAATGCTGAATAAAGGTATTTCTATTCTATTCTATTCTTAAGACACCCATAGAAAAGGCAATAATTCGGTATATGACAGTAACTATACAACAAAGAAGTAGTTTTCAAAATCAGTATCCAGACACGCTCTTAGCTGGCGGGACCGGTTACTTAACACTCATAATAATCTCCTTTTTTTTTCAAGACAATCCCCAGAAGCAGTAAAGACTATAAAAGACAAAATAAACTATATTAAAAACTAGTCTTACCCAGCGTACCTCGCATGACGGAGAGCTCGATGGCGGTGCGGATCTCGTCGTCGTCGCGCGCGCGGCACGCCGCCGCCGCGATCGCCTGACAACCACGCACACGTCAATGCATATTCTTAACGCACTCGACAAACGCTATGCGAGAACTTCACATTTCCAGCAACGAATTATACCGGCATGATTATGAGAAAACTATCCAAATTACAAACAACTAAAAAAAAATGGTTTCTGACCACAAGTTGAATAGCAAAATCTATTGGAGTTCTACCGTAACCCCTTTCAAGGAATGTATCTGTCACCGGAAAATAACAAGACTCGTAAGTTGATCAATTGTCTAGGTAGTTGATCAACTCTCGGAAAATAATAAACGGCATTTGAAATGTACTATATAACGTATGTATTTTAGTAAGTTGATTAATTTACGGCGTCTTGCCGTTAAATCATCCGACAAAGGCAAGGTGCACGTTGATTGGTTAAAAGACTCACGTGCTTTTATACCGCTCCCCGCCACCCGGCCGCCGCCATTACCGGTTTAAACGTAAATAAATCTATCTATTATCTTTATTTACAGTAGATAGTAAAATTAGCAATTGTTGTTTTGNACTTTATCGCGCGCGTCCCTGTTTCAAAAACCGGGATAAAAACTATCCTATGTTCTTTCCCGGGACTCAAACTATCTCTATGCCAAATTTCATCAAAATCGGTTGCGAGGTTTAAGCGGGAAAGCGTAACAGACTAACAGACAGACAGACAGACAGACAGACAGAGTTACTTTCGCATTTATAATATTAGTTGGGATATAGCATAGACGAACTTGAATATCTCTATCTCTAAAATATAAATATTAAAACAACATACAGTAGAATCCCGATTATCCGGATCAATTAAAACCAGGGGTGTTCCGGATAATCGAAAATCCGGATAATCGATTTTAAAGTAAAATCAAACAATAATTAACTTTTTACAATAGAAAGGGTTTTCAATACATCATTTATACTCTAAAAATCTAAATTTTAGACCATTGGATGGATCCATTTCTTTTAAAATGAACTAAGACGAAGTCCGTGCCGTATTACGGTGGCGGCGCCCTCCGTTTTTATGGGTCCAGACCCTAAATCGGTAATTAGAAACCGTGAAGAATGAGTCCGGATAATCGGATATCCGGATAATCGGAGTCCGGATAATCGAGATTCTACTGTATCTAAGTGTTTGTAACTCTATGAATAAACACTTGCTAAATGCTTATAATTAATGCTGTCGACCAATCAGAGAAAAGTGTATTAAGTGACGGATAATAGTGTACCGTCAAATAGTACACTGGGCAACGATTGGTCCATTTGTGGATGATTTTACTTGTAGCAATATAGTTAATTATTAAATTACGGCTAGGTACCGTAAGTTGACCAATTAGCTAAAATTCAATGCGTTAAATAGTACATTTCAACTGCCGTTTATTATTTTCCGAGAGTTGATCAACTACCTAGAAAATTGATCAACTTACGAGTCTTGTTAGGGGAGAGTTCGGTATATTGTACCGCCGGGTAAATTGTACCACCCTCATATTTCGTAAAGTATTTATTGAATGTTTGTAATTGCAACACTAAGCGATACACAACTAAATTCAATTAATATCGGCCATGTGGTTTTTGCCGTGACAACGAACTCGTGTGTTTTATTTTGAAAAGTATTTTTTCATTGTTTTCAAGTAACTTTTGACAATGCATGTTTAGTTTGTAATTTTGTTAAATTTAATCACAGGGTATTTCTAATATATTATTTAGAAGCGTAAATTAGTGTGGATTACAATTATGTGAAACATTTTTCGGTATTTATAAGCTATATTTTTTACCGATTTTTTAAAAGCACTATCACCTAGTCGGCTAAATTGTACCACATCAAGTTGTATGGAACTTTACCAAAGGATTTTGAATTTTTTTTTTAGTAAATCTTATTTTGAAGTTATAATAGGGTAGTTATGTTTGACTAACAATAAATGAAAACAAAAGACTGGCGAAGTAGATTAGGTTCAAGTGTGCGTTACGATAATTGGAATTACAAAACTTTTACTTAAAATCGTGATAACGTGTAAAACAATATCGATTGTCTATGTTATTAACTACTGTTCCTTTTCGTTACCTAATTTGTTAAGAATGTATCGTATAATATTTTGCCATAGTTTTTTTATAGGCTTGAAATTTATTGAAATCCAATTTAGTAACCCTGTGGTACAAATTATCGAACCGGTTGGCTAAATTGGACCGAAGCTCTGAGCTCGTATTTAGTTGATTTGTGCTAAATATACAACAATTGTTTTAATTGATACCTATGAAATATTAAGTTGAATAATTTCTCTTTAATTATATACCATGAACATTAGCAAAAACAAAAGAAAACTATGTGTAAAATGGGATTGAAAAAAACTGGTCCAAATTACCGGACTCTCCCTTATTTTCCGGTGACATATCGAACTGGCTTTCTTACCTCTTAACTGCCGGAACACAACAATGCTGTTAACATTGTTGTTATGGCGACAGACTTAGGCAAGATGGTGGTAGCTAGCCAGGCGGACTTAGAGCAAGCCCTACCACCAACCAAACCGAACAGAAAAATCTGCCCCCACTGGGAATAGAACCCGGGACCTCTGCGTCTGAAGCAGGTAGTAGTGCTTTTATTTTTGAGTAAAAAACAAGTTTAATTTTTATTTTTTTCTTTGTTCAGCGAATTATAATATTTGCTGGTTAAAAATGGGTCTTAAATCGGTTCAGCCTACCTGACTGGTTTCCCTGTGTCTTGTCGCGTGTTGCGCCGCCATAGCGCGCGCCGCCCGGGACCCTGCGTATAGAATAATACCACAGAATAATAATAAGTACTACGTACAGAAGTTTTACTTCGCGAAGGTATTTAAAAAAATGTATGCTCAATGGCATTAACAATATGGCGTAATTTAGCCTGTCTCAAGAGTCAAGCACCATTTTGTTGACAAACGTCAGTGATCGGCACTGCGCCGAAGCTATAGGGCTGACTTCGGTAAAATGATGTGACGTGAGGTGCCAAACTGCGGAAAATGGCGGAGGAACTACATGATTTAGCATGAATTATCATGAATAATATTAACTACTTATTTACCTCTCAGTGTCTTGAGGCAACTTAAAAAAGCAAATTCTGTGTATTTATTATTTTTCAGGCACTTAAATACTGCACAGTATTTAGTACACCATTTTCTTTATTTTCTTCCATCATACACAAGAATACGCGTGCGTGAGTCAATGTTCGCTCGTATGTGAGGCCTTGTCGAATAGTATCCTGTAGGTGGGCCATCGTGCGTGTTTTGTTTTCGATGTAAACTCGCGGAGATGAACAGGCCTGGTAATACTAAATATAACTTGTTTGATTTGGTAAAACATACGTAAGTTAACATGAAATATTTTCCCGATTAAAATTGTAACAGCTGATCCGTCAATTAGTATGAAGAAATGTCAGTGCTTGAGATATGGGTGCACGGGAGGGTGTTTTTAACACTCCAAACGTCAGCGAAACTTCAGATTTGTATAGATGACCCACGATGAACTGTCCCACCAAACTCAATGACAGGGGGGCGCTACCATCGTTCAACTATATGGTTTCCAACATGGCAAAAATCTGAACCAGCGATCCGGTATTGACGGTGGCGCCCCACTGTCAATGTCATCGACAGGACAGTCCAGTATTTTGGAACTATATATACTCTGTCACGTCATAATATGTCAATGTCACCCCTCCCGTGCCGTTCTTATATCTCAGGAACTGAGTCAGTTATGTACCAATATCAATCAGCATAGACCAGTGTAGGCAACAAAAAAAACTCAACTAGTGAAGATCAAGTTTGTCCCGGGGGAAAGTTAAACTGTCATTGGACCCGGAACGAAATTATTCAAACGAACATAGGAAGCTGTAGATCCTGGCTACACAGGAGTTGCAGCGGTGGGAACGAGAGGTGGGAATAGTCCCGTTACCAAAAAAGTCACATCCAAATCAAGAAACTCCTTTTCTACAGTCGGTTAATTAAAAGTAAGTCTCACTCACCCGGTCGCGGCGTGTGCGTGGCCCCATCCCCCAGGTCCAGTTGTAAGACGCCCGCGCTGTATTCTGTAACAAGATGCAATATTAGTACACCATCTGTACCATTATCTGTATCCATCTTTTGTACTACATTTAAAGCAAATAAATGATGATTTTGAATCATGCTATATTCAATATCGCGTCTGTCATATACTGTGGGGCGTGCCAGGGGTAGCACGCCCCCCTCCTCTAGGATATTGGGCAACTGATTTGAAGATGATAGTTGATAGTACTAACTCATGAGCTATGACATGGCATATCAGGGGCCAGGCCCCCCCTGAAAAAGAATCCTAGATACGCCAATGATCATTACGTGACGTGTCGTGTCGCATTCTGTGTGTCTGTATACCGATCATCATAACGCGTCGGGTGTCAAGTATCTGGTGTCGCCACCACTAGCGTGTCGTGGTATGTTATGTCGTCTATGTCATGACATAGACGTGTCGATTCGTCTCATGTATGACATTGACATTGACGTGGCATGTCCTCTCATGTTGTAACATTTACGTGTCATGTCCTCTCATGTTATGACATTGACATGTCGTCTCAAGTCATGACATTGACGTGTCATGTCGTCTCTAGTCATAACGTTGACGTCTCATGTCGTGACATTGAATTCTCATGACGTCTCGTGTCACGACATTGAAATATCATGTTGCGTGTTAGACGTTGTCGTGTCGTCTCATATCATATCGTGTCGTGTCGTCTCGTGTCACAAGTACTGACCGGGCGCATGTTTTCCAAAGTGGTAAAAATCGGAACTAGTGATCTGGCATTGACGGTGGCGCCTCGTCTCTCTTGTCATGACGTCTCACATTGACGTGTCATGTCGTTTCATGTCATAGCACTAACATGTCATGTCGTCTCATATCATGTCGTGTCATGTCGTCTCAAATCATATCGTGTCGTGTAATATACTGACCGGGAGCATACGCGGGTTGTGTGAGCAGATGTGTATTCGCGTTGGGCGCCATGGTCACGTCGGGCACGGCGGCCGACAGCGTGGCGCGCGGGACGGCGCCGCCGCACGCAGATGTCACTTGTCATTACGTGGCGTGGCGTGTCGCATTGTGTCAGTATACCGATCATCATGGACGCGACAGGTGTCACTTGTAGTCCGACGATTTGAAACGTCAAGTACCAAAAATCGGAAATAGTAACCAGTATTGATAATAGCGCCCTCCTGTCAATGACATCTCAGTGTTTTCCAACGTGGCAAAAATCGGAACCATAGATTCGCTATTGACGGTGACGCCCCTCTGTCAATGTCAAGGGTGGGACGGTTCTGTTGTATGTAATTCATCATATCTGGTATCACTGTTACTGGCATATCGAGACATGTCATAACATTAACGTGTCAGGTCGTCTCATGTCAAGACATTGACCTGTCATGTCGTCTCATGTCATGACATTTAATTGTCATGTCATCTCGTCATGTCATGACATTGACCTGTTATGTCGTCTCATGTCATGACACTGACATGTCATGTCGTCTCATGTCATGACTTTGACGTGTCATGACATTGACATGTTATCTCATGTAATGACATTAGCGTGTCGTGTCGTATTATGTAGTATACTGACCGGGCGCATACGCAGGTTGTGTAAGCAGATGCGTATTCGCGTTGGGCGCCATGGCCACGTCATTGACGTCTCATCTCATATCATGTCGTGTCGTGTCGTCTCATGTTATGTCCTGCCGTCTCCCTCTCAATCGTATCGTATACTAACCGGGAGCATACGCAGGTTGCGTGAGCAGATGTGTATTCGCGTTGGGCGCCATGGCCACGTCGGGCACGGCGCCCGACAAGGTCGCACGCGGGACGGCGCCGCCGCACGCAGACGTCACTTGTCATTACGTGGCGGGGCGTGTTGCATTAGTTGTCACTTATAGTCCAACGATTTTGAAACGTCAAGTGAGAAAAATAGGAAATAGTAACCAGTATTGATACTAGCGCCCCCCTGTCAATGACATCTCAGTGTTTTCCACAACGTGGTAAAAATTGAAACTAGCAATCTGGCATTACAGTGGCGCCCCCTATCAATGTCACGGGTGGGACAGTTCAGTTGTAGTTCATCTATACCGGCTATCGCTGTCATTGACATATCGTGGCGTCATATCGTGTCATGACCTTGAATTCTCATGTCGTCTCATGTCATAACGTTGACGTGTCGTGTAGTCTCATGTCATAACGTTGACGTGTCATGTCATCTCATGTCAAGACATTGACCTGCCATGTCGCCTCATGTCATAACGTTGACGTGTCGTGTTGTCTCATGATATTGACGTGTCATGTCGTCTAATGTCTTGATATTGATTGACATATCATGTTGTCTAATGTCATTGACGTGTCGTCTCATATCATGTCGTCTCTTCTTCTCTCTCAAGCGTGTAGTATACTGACCGGGAGCATACGCGGGCTGCGTGAGCAGATGTGTATTCGCGTTGGGCGCCATGGCCACGTCGGGCACGGCCGCCGACAAGGTCGCGCGCGGGACGGCGCCGCCGCACGACGACGTCGACTGCCTGTAAGGGAATACACAGTTTAGGACACATGCCCGTTTTCACCATCAATCCCTAATTTTTAAGTGACCCCTATGGTAACAAATAACAGGAATTTTTAAATTTAAAAATTAAAGATTGATGGTGAAAACGGGCATTACTTACTGCAAAAGGGAGCAAATAACTGACTGCACTGACTGTGACAGGAAATACACAGAACATAACTGAATGAAACGGGGAGTTATAACTGGCTGCAACGGGGAGTTTAACTGACTGCAAAGGGAAGTAAATAACTGACTGCAACGGGGAGTATAACTGACTGCAACGGGGAGTTTAACTGACTGCAACGGGGAGTTTAACTAATACACAGAACACAACAGGGTGTACAGGACTGACTGCAACAGGAAGTATAACTGACTGCAAAGGGGAGGAAATAAGACTGCAACGGAGGTAAAAAACTGACTGTAATGGGGAGTAAATAACTGACTAATGAGAAAAGTATAACTAAATGCAAAGGGAAGTAAATAATTGACTGCAACAGGGAGTATATAACTGACTGCAACAGGGAACACGATTGAATAAATCGCAAATAAATAAATAAGTGTAGGGATTGAAAAGCAATACATTTTCTCCAGCTTTATTTGTTTTTTACCGGGATAAACCACAAAAATAAAGTATTTGCTCTGTCTTAATTCAACCGTCTTCTGTATTGTCTTGTCCAAATCACTCACTCATTCATTCCGTTTCACTCACTTCTTTCCATCCCGTTTCACACTCCTACATACATTTCAATTTGGACTGACTAGAACCGGGAGTAGACAACTTAAAGCACGAATGTTTACAACGGGCAGTACAAGTGACTGAAACGGGGAGTACAAGTGACTGAAACGGGGAGTACAAGTGATTGAAACGGGGAGTACACAGTGTGGACAGTTTAGATGACTACTGTTTGCACCAGAAGGTAAGCAGTTTAGAGCTATTTATTAACACATCTACAGCCAACACACTTACCTGTGCTGAGTGCCGTCCACGCTTCTCGAAGGCAACTCTCTTCGACACGTGCTAGATCGGGAACTGCTCTCTGGAATATAAAAAAAATTATAATAAATAATTAAAGTCAGTGTTTTATGAAGTATAGTTGTTGCAATTCACGAAGGGAAGTGAGCTTTACATGTGCGGTGGCTCGCTACTGTTCACATCGTAAAAAAGAGTCCCAATTTCTAACCTTATCCACTTTCTCGATCTGTTCTCCATTAATCTGGATATCGAGAGACTTATTCGCGAGTTTGATAGTGTTTTTAGTAATAAAAACTTAGGCAGAGTTGCACCACCTAATTTTAAAAGCAACTATAACGATAACCGTGCTTCTGTGTGGAGTTCGACAGATTTTTGACGTTTGTTAAAGTAAGATGGTGCACCCAGCCTTAGCCTGATTAAAATTTGACATGACCTCTCAAAGAAGGTTCGTGTGTATAGATGACCTAAACTGAACTGTCCCACCGAACTCATTGACAGGGGGACGCCACCATCGTTTAACTGTATAGTTTTCAACATGGCAAAAATCGGAACCAGCGATCCGGTTTTGACGGTGGCGCCCCGCTGTCAATGTCACGGATAAGACAGTTCAGTATTTTGGAACTATATGCAAGCTATACGTACCGGCTTGATCGGCCGGGCACGGCGCGCGCACGCCGCGGTAGGAGCGCGACGAGCCGGCGCTGCCCGCGCTGCCCGACCGTCTGGAATAAAACGCAAAATTAAATATCAATACGAAGAAAAAACATTGTTTTTGCAATAAGATACTAGCCCCCGTATTCACAAACGATGCTTGCTTAAGTGAAGCAGCTCGATTTGCTGCATAGCGTTGAATAGAGTTCTGCGATTGGTTCGTGCATCAACCTGTGCTTTCACGCACACTGTGAGACCTCATAATAATGTTCGAGCGTAAATGTTTTGCCTTGTAACTCCTTGCCAGACAGTTTTTTTAGGATAGCTGCCAAAGCCGCGATGACCCAAACTTCATGATTCACCAACATTCTATCCTATATTGGGCGCATTCGCTGACAAACTTTCAGCGTTTATAAAATGACGTAGGTCTGGCGTTCACCAGCTCTTAGTCTATAATGTTCTACTATATTATATCTGCCAACAATGCACTTTTTATTCGTTATTAGTCTAATTAAAATTAGGCTTTATTGCGCCCACAATAAGACTGAAAATATCTCACCTGCAACAATCCGGCGGCGTGGACTCGTGGTCCCAGCGCCGCCTCTCGCCAGGAGAATCCCACTCGCGCTCCCTGTTGCAAAACAAACTTCAAACATTTCATTATAACCCTTTCAGACCTGGCGTCCACAATTGTAGACATAAAATATAAATCAAAATTATGAACTTAACACTGTACATTTGAAACTTAAAACGGTTGTCTTCATTTGTTCACATAATAAACTACCTAATTCAGTACTTTTAACGCCATCTCTCATGGTATAATAGCACTAATTGACAAGTTTCAACCAGTGCCCGAGCGTGATTTGAACTGTGCAGGTGAGCTCTTTATTTTATTTCGAAAAAATATGAAATAGTAACAGAGATCTTCTGTAATAAATACTAGCGTGTATTTATTATTACAAGGGACACGTGGAACATACAATTTGTGTATTTTGTGTTGTCTTTGTATTACTAATCTCGAGTTTTAGATTTGTACTCAAATGATCCCATCAGGAGGCAACTGAGCATTTTGAAATTGTTCCAAGTGATAACGGTTTTATTGTAAATTCTTTTTTTTTTCAACTTTTTTATTGTTCAAAAATACATTTATGTCAGAAATAATATAATATATTTATGTTATGTATTAAATAATTATTTAAATCATTTTTTTATATCCAGATAATATACTGTCAAAATGTTCTCACCAGAGGCCTTGAGAACACTTGATGACGGAAATCTTTCGGATTTTCTGCTATCTTCAGATGACTAAGAGAAATTTGGAGAAGCCATTGATCTATTCCTCGAAATTATTGACAGTATGTCTACCTCGGACAAACGATTCAGCTAGGTAGGTCCAATTTCTAGAAAGAGGTCATTCGTCGAATCCAACTCGGCTGGGCAGCGTTCGAGCAATTACGCAACATCTTTTCGTCCAAAATACCTCAGTGCCTGAAGACTAAAGTGTAGGTACAACCAATGTGTGTTACCATTAACGACTTATGGTTCGGAAACGTGGCCTCTCACTATAGGCCTTATACAGAAGCTCAAAGAGGCACAGCGTGCTATGGATAGGGCTATGCTCGGTGTTTCTTTACGAGATCGAATCAGAAATGAAGAGATCCGTAAATGAACTAAAGTCGCTGACTAGCCCGACCGATTAGCACGCTGAATGTGCAATGGGCAAGGCACATAGTACGCAGAACTGACGGCCGAAGGGGCAGCAACGTTCTGGAGTGGAGGCTGTGTACCGGAACAACGCAGCGTGGTACGTCCACCCACAAGGTGGACCGACGACATCATAAAGGAAGCAGGAAAGCGCTGGACGCAGGCCGCTACCAACCGAGCAACATGGAAACCATTGGGGGAGTCTTATAGGACTTTATTCCTATCCTGTATTCAGCAGTGGATGTCCTATGGCTGAGATGATGATATGATGATGATGATGANCAATTGCTAAAAGTTTATTTGGGAAATGAAACTTTGGCGATAAGTTGTTTGCGAAGTGAAATTTGGCGAAAAGTAATTTGGCCAAACGGAAGGATACCATTTTTATCATATTACGCGCGGCTGTTGACATTTATTTCAAAAATATGGCCGAGTTGGAATACCTACTGTATAGATAGTATTACCGTGTCTTTGTTCAACAATGGACGTCCCATGGCTGAAATGATGATGAAGATGATGATCTCTCCACTTGGCACTTACCCTGAGTTTCCGTATAGCGTTCCTGGTGACCAGCTGGCAATCGTACAGCTCGATGAGTTGCAGGTTGTGGCACGAGATCAGATGCTCCAGAGCGTCGTCCGTCACCAGCGGACAATTGTCCAGACCTGGGACAATTGGAACGATTCCAGGGTAAAAAAGCAATAGTTTTTTAATTTTATTTAATCTGATTTTATTTAGGGACTTTTGAAAACATGTCAGTCCCATCGAATCTTAACCTACGCTTACATTAACATTCACTATTCAGAAAGAAACTTAATCCTGCGAAACCATATCCACCACAAATCGGTTAAAAACCCAAAAAGGTTAGCAAAAATATTAACAAAACCTCCTAGATCTATAAAGCAATAGTTGGATTTAGATCGTCGATTAAGTATTCAAAAAATCGTTCGTTCGTTTCAGCCGAAAGACGTCCACTGCTGGACAAAGGCCTCCCCCAAGGATTTCCACAAAGATCGGTCCTGCGCCGCCGGTATCCAGGCACCTCCCGCGACCTTCACCAGATCGTCGGTCCACCTATTGGGAGGCCTGCCCACGCTACGTCTTTAGGCTCGTGGTCGCCAAATACCAAACAAAACAATACAATTCGAAAAATACCCAACACATATTTTTTCGATTTATCAAATCTATGAAAATTGGCAGAGATATGAAAGCCAAAGATCAAAGTGGAGGTCAGTGGCGTCACTGCGTTGTAAAAAAGTGTAGCACGGTGTGACATCTTGCGGAATTTCAACGAAATATCTTCGTGATTATTTATTTGATTGACAAAGAAAAAATATGTCCAATATTTTTTGATAAATAATTTATTATCAAAAACAACTTAAAAAATGCAGCTGGATTACATGGACCGCCATACTAACCAACTGCAAAACTAAGTCTGCACGGGAAAAAGGTCCATAAAACTCAGAACTATATTCAATAGTTTTAAATAAAAAATATGCTACTATGATCGTAATATTTATGGAGAAAGTACAATATCGGTCTGCTATCATAGAAAGACGGTGAACGTGATCCTAAATCAATTTCATTTTTGTTGTATAGTACGGACTACGGAACCCTAAAAACATTATCAACTTACCTAGTACTGTGAGGTGTTCCGCGGCGCACGGCGACATTGACAGCTGTTTGATGCCATAGTCTGTGATCAGCTCGCAATGTGATAGGGTCTGGAAACGCATTTTATACCAACATTAGGTAGAATTCACTGGTTGGGTTGTTGGCGGTCAAGCTGTAGATCCTGGCTACACAGGAATCGCAGCGGTGGGAACGAGAGGTGGGAATAGTCTTGCTGAATTGGGTAGTTGATTAAAAGGAGAAGGATGTATTTTTTTAAACTATAGTCTGGTCTGTTAGCATGTAGAATTTTGTCCAATGACCCCAAGCTACCCATTCTTATCGCTCGCGCGTAATTATATTGCTGTCGCGACTGTGCGACGGGCGCCCGCGAGCGATAAGGATGGGTAGCTTGGGGTCATTGGACAAAATTCTACGTGCTCACAGACCGGGCTTTAATTATAGCTATTGAGAATTTCTTCAAATATGATATGAGTCACATTGCAGTATTCATTATTCTTATTGATAAACAATAAATAATATTAAAAATGTAATAGATTTGCAATAAAACTAACAGTGAAATCGGTGAACATACATCAAAGAAAAAAAAGTGAAATATAACATCTTCTTGTTTTGAAGTCGGTCACTATAACAGAGTAATAGAAAAGATACACACAGAGGAAGATAATTCCTTTTTTACGTTTCATAGGGTTCTGTACCTTACATTGCCACCAAATTGAACCTCATTCAGTTGAAAAGCAATGACTTTTTTTATTATCTGTAAATGTACACCGCACTGTAACAGTACATGTATACTTACACTATTTAAAAATTACAGTTTTTTCACATAAGTTGACTTTTTAAGCTAAAACTCATTTATTTCTTTTTCAAAGGTTTACATGCTTTAAAATGTACAAAGTTATAAATATTTATGCGAGCTAGGCAGTAACGTATCCCAAACATTTTTATCTTTTAAAAAATCATCGATTTTATAGTAGCCCTTTTTCACTAAGGTACTTTTAATATGTGCTTTGAATTTATGAATGGGTAGTTCTACAACAGTTTGTGGTAATTTATTAAAGAATTTAATACATTTTCCCATAAATGAATTACCAATCTGTCTGTTTCTTGTATTAAAGTTATGCAAATCACTCTTTTTCGTGAATTGCTCTATATTTTTGCGGACATATAAAAGGTTTTCATAAATGAACTGTGAAGCTACTGTCTGTTGTGTGTTATAGAAGGTTAAAAATATGAAATGCTCTTACCAGTTTCTCAAGCCTAGGGCAGCCCATCGCGAGGTGAACAAGTGTGGCATCCGTGATCAGCACGCATTCTTCTAAGTCCATTCGCTCGAGGAGTCTGCAGCTCTGTGGAGAAACATCATCATCATTATTATTATGACGAGGGTGGTGATCGTTGTAATGAGGAGTATCGTATTTGCGATCACCAGTTGGCGCTACTGGCGACAGGACCTTACTCTACAGTGATGCCAAAATTATCATCATCTTATGGTTTATACAGGGTGTTAGGTAAATGGGTATATGAGCCTACACTAGCCCATGTTAAAATGGGCATATAAATGCTATGGTGAAGTCAGAAAATTGATATCTTCATTTTAATTATTTAAACTTTCATACAAATCGGATTTTATAAAAAATATTTTGTATGAAAAAAAAATGATATCAAAATTATTTATGTGCCCATGTTAACATGGGCTAGTGTCGGCTCATATACCCATTTACCTAACACCCTGTAGATGACCTACACTGAACCGTACCAGCAATGACATTTGCAAGAGGACGCTACTATCAATGCTGGGTTGTTAGTAAGATAATTATCTGTCATTGAGATAGAATAAGAACACTAAACTTGCACTCGCTACGTTGCGACGTTATTTCGAATAATAATGCCTTCTCCCAATTTAGAAAAATTAGGAAACATTTCAACTTACTAACATTCAAAAAATTATCTTAGCCTAGCTAAAGCTTGAAACACATGAGAATCCCCTAAACTTTGAATCTTAACGCCTCGATAGAAGTTCAAAATTGCTGCCACTCAAAAACCGCTCTTACTCACCCGAGCCAAAGCCTGGAACCCAGCGTCCGTCAGTTGACTACACAGCGCCAGTTCCAACGTGACTAAGTCCGGACAGTGCGCCGCGAGTGCGGACAGCGAAGTGTCCGTTAGTCGCGTGCATCCGGACACGCAGAGCCGACGCATAGCGCCCCCTAGCTTGATTATCGAGTCGTCTGTTAGATTCTGCGAAAGCAAAATTTCACTGTCAATTAATCAGATTTTCCGTGTTTAATTTTG